GTTGTAGAGTTCTATTGGTATTTTCATTGCAGTTTGTATAGGGATTTACTGCTGATGTTATCTTTTAGGTTTTCTAAACAAGTACACAGGGATTTACTGCTGATGTGAAAATGTTGTTTATTCTAAACATGCAATACATGTGAAAGAATTTACTGTTTTATTTTGATATTTGATGTTCCTGCTAACTACACATTGTATAAGAATCTCCCAACAAAACAGCAAGACCAGCCAGATGTCAAGTATGTCCTATAAAAAGGCCAGGAATTGTGGTGCACGCCTGTAATCCCAGCACTTGGAGGCTGAGGCAGGAGGATCATTGCAAGTTCAAGACCAGCGTGAGATACAAAGTGAGCTCAAGGCCAGTCTGAACTGCATAGTGAGACCCTGTCTCAAAAAGACAAAAAAAAATTAAAAAATAAAAAGGCCAGGAAAGCAAAACACATGTGCTGTCAGTGTAAGCGATACTGTGTGCACAGAACATGCTGTTGTCATGTGTGAAGACTGCCTTAGATGTGATCATTGAAGATTTTTTTTGTAGATGTCCACTGGTATTTTCATTGTTCATACAGAAATTTATTTGTTATTCTTTAGACTTTGTTGTACACCAAAAAGTCAATGTTGAAAATCTTTTATATTAAAAATTCAATATTTCACTTTTTTATATTTTTCCTGTTAAGTACTCATTGTTTAATATAATAAAACTCATAAAATTATAACTCCTCAATAGAAATATTCTAAAGAATAAACGTGGGTATTATACACCCACAACAACATGCCTTTATGACAAAATTGGTGTTATACCCTGCAGGCTATGTTTTTCTTCATACTATTTTATATTGTGCAACGTTTGTTCCAATATTTATTTTGCAACTGAAAAAATCTAATAAAAACTCACTGAAGATATTTTCAAAAGAATAATGTTCCAGATAATGAAATTGAGGGAGGAAACTATTTTACTTTCTTCTTTGCATCGTTCTAAATTTTCCATGTTCTCTCCAGAAAAGAATGCACACCTCTCTCCTCCCTCTTTACTCGTTTTCGATGTCTTGCACTGCCATGAAAGGTTGTTCTGGGCCAGGGATACAGCTCAGCAGCACAAGCACCTGCCTGGCAAATGCAAGGTCCTGAGTTCAAATCTCAGTACAAAAAAAAAATGGGTGGCTGGGCATGGTGGCGCATGCTTGTGATCCCAGCACTGGGGCAGCTGAGGCAGGAGGATCATTGCGAGCTCAAGGCCAGCCTGAACTGCATAGCGAGACCCTGTCTCTCAAAAAGACCAAAAAAAAAAAAAAAAAGAAAAAGAAAAAGAAAAAAAAAGCAAGCAAGAAAGAAAGGTTGCTTCTCTGCCACACCACCCTGCCTTGGAGCCAGCTGATTATGGACCGAAACCTCTATAAACTGTGAGCCAAATAAACCTTTCCCTCTTTAAAAAAAAAAATGCACATCAAAACATGTTTAAAGGCAACCAATATTTTTGGGAATACACCTCTTTTGGTAAGAAAATGAACATGGAACAGAATCAGTGCTGTGATTACAAGTCAGATAAAAGACGTATATGTATGGACAAGACTGGAAGAGAACAATCTAATAAAAGGCGGTATTTTGTTTTGGGGGGTTTTTTTGGTACCGGGAATCAAACTCAGGACCTTGCGCTTGCCAGGCAGGCGTTTGTGCCGCTGAGCTACACCCCCGGCCCAAAAGGTGGTATTTTGAATGACTATTTTTCAAAGTTTTGCCACAGATACATGCAAGAAAAATAACTTGCAAGATGTCTATCTTTGTATACTTATAAATTGGTCTTTCAAAATTACTTTTTTTTTTTTGTTTTTTGTTTTTTGTTTTTCTCTGGTACGGGGAACCAAACTCACGACCTTGCACTTGCCAGGCAGGCGCTTTGCCGCTGAGCTAAATCCCCAGCCCCTTTTTTGTTTTTTTGTTTTTTTTTTTTTTTTGTTTTTTGCAAAATTACCTTTTCTGAAGAACCAAAGCAAGTTGTCCTGGGAGAAATAGTTACTAAATCTCTGAGGCTGTCACAACCAGTACTCCAAGAGAGAGCAGGAAAAATCAACAGGGGAAAAATATGCACAACTAAAGGGTAAACCTCTGTTTCACTAGTGTGCCACTGCTAGAGGCTAGCAGAGAAGTGGACTACTGTGTACTGGACGGCAAAAGGGAACTCTTTTCCACCTTTCTGCGTCCCAGCCTGCTGGGGCTGGGAAGGATGTTCCATGTATCTGGTAGGAGGGCAACTAGTCTGTTCGTAGCTCACCGGAGTGGAAGGCGGACCCCCATGCCTTCAAGTGACTGGCTGCATCAGACAAAGCCTACACTGAGGGAACTTGGAGGTACACTCATTTCAGTCTCTGAATCTCCCAATTCAGCTTTACTAGAGTAAATCACTCACATGGTGGTTTCTTGTGCCTATTTTCAACGGGATTAGAGTCCAGAGGCAAAGACAGGTGTGAGTGGAACCTCGAAAACCCCAAGATTTGACTTCACACTTCTTCCATTTATTTTGAAGAATCTCATACCAAGGGAAATGGGTTCTGTACAAGCCGGGCATGGTGGCACACACCTGTAATCTCAGCACACAGGAGGCTAAGGCAGGAGGATCACTGCGAGTTTGAGGCCAGCCTGGACTACAAGGTGAGTTCAAGGCCAGCCTGAACTCCATAGTGAAACCCCGCCTCAAAAAAAAAAAAAAAAAAAAAAAAAATCAAGGGCCTGGGGATTTAGCTCAGCGGCACAGTGCCTGCCTGGCAAGTGCAAGGTTGTGAGTTCGATTCCTGGTACTGGAAAAAAAAAATCAAGGCCGGGCGCGTGGGCACTCCTATAATCCCAGCACTCGGGAGGCTGAGGCAGGAGGATCGTTGTGTTTTAGGCCAGCCTGAGCTACAGAGTGAGCTCAAGGCCAGCCTGAACTGCATAGTGAGACCCTGTCTCAAAGACAAAAAAAAAAACAAAAAATAAAAAATAAAAAATAAAAAATCAAGCACAAGCATGAGACATTGAGAAGTTGGTCTCTACTGGAAAGCAAAATAACCCTTACAGAGCTGGTTAACTATTGATAATTTTAGCCCATGTGTTTAGATGTTCCTGTGGTCATGAATTCCTAAGTAGGTTTTCAGTAGTATGCATGCTAGTGGCTTTACAGCATCACGTTACTACCACGGCAAAAGCTTTGTGTTCACCAATACCATCAAACAGGTAAACCCGGGAGTCAAGTAAGAAAACCAAGGAAAATAATTCCTGATTTTGACCTCCAACTCGATTGCCATTAGAGGTCAGAGAATGATTTTTAAACCCAAGGAGGTGACAATAATAGCTTCCTTGATGCAAAAAGTGCTTAACTACTCAAGGGTCACACTACCTTCAGCTTTTAAGCTGGGGATTAATTGTACGATCTGTATCTACTTCATTTTCCTCTGCATATGTGTGCACATATGCCTTGTCTGTAGCCAACACTCCACTAGGGTAACTTAAAATAGTGGTTTATTTACAATAGCAAAAATGTCAAAAATAACAGGAGTACTATATAACAAATCCAAGAATTATTTCATGAAAAAGGCAAACAATATATATGAGACAAAAGATAAAACAAAATCCACAGGACAAACGACTTTCTCTAAGAAGCTGCAGAATGTGGCAATAGGGTTTTTTGGATATGAATTACTCAAGTAATGCTGGGCCGACTGCACCACACACACACACACACTTTTCAGCCCTTCTTTTACTTGTTCAGTCCTCCTGTGAATTTTATTTACTTTAGAGGAATGCAACTTTGGGAGGTCAGGTAGGACTTAGGAATAGGCTGTTTACATGTGCACTAAAAGATACACTTAGTAACTGGTGGGCTCACTTTAAAAAGGGCAAACCAAAGGTAGAAACCGAGTCCTACTTTACCTTCACTAAGCACTTCTGGTTGCTGTTTTTGTGATTTTCTTGTCCACCACACACAATGTTACACCAGTAACCTTTTAGGTTCCCCAAGTGCTCTAAAATAAGTGTTTGCAATTGATCACACAACAGATCCACTCGGGGAACACGTTAGAACACACTGCTGAGCCCTCCGCCCAGCTTTTCAATTCAATGGCTATTGCGTGGGCCTAAGAACTGCCATCTTTAACCAAGTCCCTCCCAGGTGATTACCGCGCTGCCAGACCATACTCTTGAGAAGCACTGCTCTGAAATAGCCCCCTCCTTAAGATTTTGATCAGTCGTGCTTTTTCTCACATGAATCCTAGAATCTGTGGAAAATCAATGAAATACTGAGGTTCCTAGAGAACAGAACAGCACATTATCTGACTGTGATCCCAGACTAGGTAGACATGATGTCAAGCCTTCTATTATAGCTAAGTTTTCAGCAGCATGTTATGGTTTGGCTGGGTTTATGGCTCTATATAGCGATGCTCTCCACATTCTCTTGATCATTTACCTCAACTTTCAGTTATCCACTATTTCAACTATGAGGACAACACTTTTTCCTACAGTTGAATTGTACAGTCTCATTCTTAAAAGCAAAGGTGGCACAAAACTCTCCTGACTCCTGCGAACTTTTGCCTAACTTCCAATTTACTGCAACAAAATGACCATAACCTAGTACGCCATCTACTACAGCCCTCCAAACTAAGCCCAAAGGGGTAACTCGAGGGCAGGACTTTAGCAGTGGCAGTGGTGACATCCGCACTGATTAAATGTGCCGCAGGTTCATACCGAATGAACTTTAAGTGCTCTCAAAACCCATTTTCTGCATGGGTAATTTATCCCGGGGGGAACTGGAGATGCTAATAAAACAAACGAGGATCAAAGGAAAAACGAACTTCAAGGACATGTTCATCAAAGGACTCACCAATCACCTCTTAGCTTCTCTGAAATATTACTTGCAAATTCACAGGACTGAAATATTACCATATTTGCATCTGAGTCACAAAATTCAAAGCAATCAAGCATTTTGCATTTCACTGCTGCATAAAAGGAATTAAGAAATGGGGGGATGAAAATAATCCACTGCTTTTGATGTTTATTAGGTTTACAAAAACTGTACAATTTTTTTCTTAAGAAAGGCATTAACTTAGTACTGGTATCAAATAGACTAAACATTCATTAACAGGAAAATATTCTGATTTTTATTTTTGCACATTCTCAAGTACACAATTACAATAATGTCACACATCCCTATATGATTTTCTTTTTATGTATTTTACTTTTTTTACAAAGTATACAGAGGGAGGGACATACAATATTTAATAGGATATTTCTACAGAACAATAACTTATATTATGTCCTTGTAAAAATCTGTACCTCTTTAAAACATTTAACTGAAACATCCATTTTTGTTTAGCTTTGCTAATCAAAATTGTTTTAAGAATTAAAACTAGGTTGTAACTAATGTCAGTACATAACAGTGACTACAATTTAATTTTCTCTTTATACAGACAAATACATTTTATATTCACTTGACCAAACCCTTAAATACCTTTTAAAGGCTTCAATATTGTGCTTTAAAAAGAAAACAACTGTGTATGATTCCAGGTTATGTAAGAGAAATATAAAGTGTGTAAAGTGTTGTGTTCTTTATCTTTCAGTTTATTTAAAAAAATATAGTTAAATGACCCATTTATATTTTCTGAATCAATTGTATAGGTCATTTCAAAATTAATAAATTTTTACTTTAAGTGTTTTACAGTATTTCTGGGGAAAATAAAAAGGGAGATTTTCAAGGTTCTCACAAAAAAACAGACAGAGCTTTCAAGAATAGCAGGGCAACGAATCATGGAATTTTACTTTTTTTTTTTTTTTTTTAATTAAAAAAAGCACATTATGGGAGCCAGAAGGACACAGGAATTCCCTACGGGTTAGGCTAGGGAAACCCATGCCTTGGTTTGACTGGCATTTAGGCTGGAGTTCATACCAGCCTAAAGCACTTGATTTAGAACTAGACTAAATTAATCTAGCACTTTAGAGGCTTGCCAAACACCAAATATTTAGATTTCTAACCCTAAAAATCTAACTTCTGAATACAAATATTGATGGCAAAGAGAAAGATGAAAGATAAAAACCTAAGGGCACAAAGGGGATGGAGCACCATAACAAGGTGGCAAGGCAGCTATCGAGTGAGAAGATTACTAAAGCCCCCTTGACGTGTCACACACATGTGCCAACAGCCAATTCCAGGGACCCCATGAACGGATTTTTGTTCTTTAAGAGTCGCCCTACCATAATCAAATCGTAATTAACCAAGTTCATCACACAAATGTACGACTGGTTCCAACCTACGTGTTACTAAAACTGCCAACTCTCAAAGAAAAACAAAATGGAAAGACCTGGTGAGGTTCCAAATAAGGCCTCAGACTTTCCTTCTGCACTTGGAACACACCTCTATCTCCTAATCCAAGCCAACTTGACTGTTAAGTTTTTCAAGCCTGCTAACTGAAACTGTCTAGTAACTAGCAGAGCACGCTGAACCTGCCAAGTGTAAGTCATAATTAGCACCGATTCTCTGGTCCATGGAGCCATCGTTCCTCTCCGTCCCCCTCACTTGGTGAGACAGAGAGTTCTCACTAAGCTGCTCCAAGAGAACTGAGGGAGTCACGCCTCGATGCTCACTAGCTTTTCAGAAAAATATAAAGGCATGGAGCTGAAACTGTATGAAAACATTCTATCTAAAAACATCTTAACCTCTATTTTCTTCAATTATTTTTCAATTATCAAAGATATTTAAAAGAAAATACCTTTACTCTTTAAAAATACTAGTGTCCTTATTTTCCTTCTAATTCTTCACCTGAGTAGTCTCTCTGAAGAGCATGACTTACAAAATGCTCTCTCATGCATCCCTGGATCTTTCATGTTATCGTAAATTTAATACTTTTCATTATAGATTTTAAACAACTACTACTTGGGGTTGTGTGTATAAATATGTAAAATAAGCAATACACACACAGATACATGTTATATATATGTGTATATATATAATTCAGAGTACATTTACATATATAAAGTTGCAAAAGATCCTATGAACCACAAGTCACCTCCAGGAGATTCCAAAATGCAGTCCTCAGTAAGTTTCATTTGCAGCACACAACCAACCATTCCAGACAAAGCAGCACAGACAGAATAATCAAAATACAACAAGACCACGCAAAATTTTCCAGAAAGGTTTCCTTAAAGTTTGCTATGCTGACAGAATATGCAAATAGTTCAAAGAAAGCAAAAAGAAGTATACTTTGTTGCTAAACAAAATGAAAAGTAAACACAAGCCCAGCCACTGCTCTTTACTCAGCATGCCAGGGACTCAAAGCTCAAATGGAAACTTCCCTTGTTGCATGTCTAAAAGTACTAAGCAAGATAAGTAAATGACTTCCATGTTATGATCATGAGACCTGACCATAAAATCTCCCATTCATATTAGGTATCTCTGGCAATTTTATTGTGAGAAATTTATGGGAAAAAAATGAATCAACATGAATACTTTCAGAGTCACCAATCTAAAGTTACCTTAAGTTAAATGGTCTTAGAAGAGTACCATCAAGGTAAGCAAGGTAAATATTTAAATAAATATAAAACTTCTAAGATAGAAAAATTCAGTATAGAATCAAGGATTACTTTATTAAAAGCAACTAGCTTGTTGCTACTTTTCCCCATTTATTAAACAAACTGAATAGAATTCAGAACACACTACTGAACAAAATGTAAAAAAAAGTTAACTAGAAGCAACAATCTATCTGTACACAGCATAAATCAATATACAGTATTGTATGTGAACTAGACTGATTGGCTTTAAAATGAATTTCCTGCGTCAAGGCCAGTATCTCTACAATTGCCTGTAAAAGTATTATTAGGGCAGGCCAACTTCTTTATGATGCCGCATTATGTGCTGGTTCTTTTCCGAAGGTCTTCGGAACCCTTTCTTGCAGTACTCACACCGGTGAGGATAGTCTTTTGTATGAATGGAAATAACGTGTCGCTTAAAGCCTGAGGCATCCGTAGTGCTATACTCACAGTACTCACACTGATACACTTTCCGGCCACTGTGTGTCTTCATATGCTTTTTAAGCTCATTCTGTTGCCTAAATCCCTTCCTACATCTCTTACACCTGAATGGAAGATCCTTCGTATGAACAGAGAGAATATGGCGACTTAGCACAAATGGATCTGCAATCTTAAAGTCACAATGTCTACACTGGTGCATTTTTTTACCCTTGTGGGCAGCCACATGTTTCTTGAGTTCCGAAGGCCTATGAAAGCCTTTATCACACATGTCACACTTATGGGGGTAGTCCTTCGTGTGAACTGAAATTATATGTCGTTTTAAATCACTTGAGTTCGAACTCTTGTGGTCACAATGCAAACACTGGTGTGTTTTGCTTTCTTGGTGGATAAGAGCATGTTGCTGCATCTCTTTGGTATCTGAGAAAGTCATAAGACAAATGTCACACTTGAATGGCATCTCTTTACTATGCTTAGTTTTTACGTGTGTTTTCAAGTTAGAAGAGTCTGCAGATCGATATTCGCAGTACTGGCATTGGTACGGCTTCTCCCCAGTATGGATTCGCATGTGCTTTTTGAGCTCTGATGGGTGACGAAAACCTTTACCGCACTCTACACAAATATGAGGAAAGTTCTTGCTGTGGACTGCCAAAAGGTGGCGATTCAATAACCCTTGCTCAGCTGTCTCATATTCACAAAATTTACACTTGTGCATTTTGTTAGTTCCTTTTTCCTTATGCACCATTTTGTGGGTAAACAAAGCCCCAGCGTGAGAGAAATGTTTCCCACACTCATCGCATTCAATGGCCTTCTCTGCCTTGCTGGTCAGCTTGTGGCTCTCCAGATGATTGTGTAAACTTATCTTCTTGTTGGTAGTGTAGTCACAGTCAGTACAGCGGTATTTCTTCTTGGCAAGGTGTTCAGGATGGTTTTTCATGTGCCTTTTCAAGAAACCTCTCGATTTAAACTTCTTCCCACAGATCATGCAAGGGTAGACAGTCAAAGGATGTCCATCAGGGCCAATAATTATTGCTAGGAAGGACAAGAAAAGAGAGCATAAGGGATCAAACCAAATTCTCTTTCAGCTGCTTCAAATATTTACCAAGTGTTCTGAACACCACTGGTCAACGACTTGTAAGTTGGGCTATTTGCTATTTAACATTCCTTTTATGTGTTTTTCAACATAAGAGATATAGCAACTTAAGTCATAAATAATGAGAGCCTGGTCTGGAAACTTCACTCAGTAGGACTGTACCAACCTCATTCCCTCGAACTTAACAAGATTAGTGAATAAATGTATGACTTCTATGAACTAGTGATTAAAGCCTTATCAATTTAAAAATCTGGGAACTTATTCATAAAAGTAAAGTTTTATAATCAAAATTCTTGCTTTGGTTATTAAACATTATTTATGTTAAATACACCCATAAAAATTTTAATATGCAAATCCATATGCAAGAATAGACAGAAGTATGTCAGATGCACTGAAGTACTTATCCTGCTGCTCTGTAAATTATGCCTGCTTCATGCTAACATAATTGGCTCTTTAAATATATTTTTTAAAGTAAATGCTTATAACCCATTTGAGGAATTCCTTTTCATTTCCACATAAAAATCATCCAAGTTTTGAATTTTTTCATCCATGTTTGATCTATTTACTGTTTTTCATCCAAGGAAATCATTCATGAATATCACTGAATTCTGAAAACTGTATTTTCAAATTCAATACACAAAAGCTACATGTGGTCTAGCAGCTAAAATGCCATCGCGACACCCCTGTGGACACATACTGAGAGCTTCCTCTGAGAGCTTGCAGAGCATGCTGCACCATGGAATTTGTGCACCCTCACCTGTTTGGTACTGCCTCGAATCAGGTCTTCTCCTTTTCTTTGGTTTTTGTTTAGCCAGTCTGCCGAGGCCAGCAGACTCATCTATGTGCAAGAGGGCACTTGCAGTGCCATTCCGGTTTTCAATTCCATCAGAATTATTACCTAACAATACGCATTAAAAAACAAAATTATACAGTATTATAAATGATAAAGTTAGAAATTCTTTTACTAATGACAACAAAAAAAGTAAGCCATGATACTCATGAATGACAGAAATTCCCCATTCTAGGTAATGGATTTTATGAGCACATTCATTTTGGCGGGACAGTAGGAAATGCCTAGTTTCCAAAGCTAAAAACGTATCAGCATTTTCTCCACAGGCTCCTTTGTTGTCTCCCAAAACTGTAAAGTCATGGGCCAGATGTAATCAAGATGAAAAGTTTCAACTTGAAAGCCTGTGTATGTCTTGCAGTACTTCCTTCTAAGTAATATAAACATGAAGGAAATTCCCATTAACAATAAAGACAAAAAGTAGACTTTATAATCTTCCTCTCCTGTTTACATGACAGTCAAATAACCCTAATAAGGTACTCATATTTCAGTTTTCTGAAACCTAAGACCACAGACATCTTTTTTAATCATGATCTCATGTCCAAAAACCAGTTAAACCAATCCTAAGACCCACTCTGTGACTTACCATACGCTGCTGCCCAAGCGATTGGCATGAAGGTTTTGATTTCATTGTCATCCATTTGCTGTTCATGTGCAGCTGCTGCCGCCGCCGCCGCTGCCGCATCCTCCTCTCCTACAATCACTTCCATATAGACTTCATCAGCGATTTCAGCAACATCTACATAGTAAATTGTAAAGACTTTTCTCATCAGGTTTACAGGAAACATACTTTTATTTGAATTCAGTTAATAAACAAAAGGTCCAAATATTATGTACCTAGAACATAGCCTTTGTGTAGTAAGCACTCAATAAATATTTGTTGAATGGATCATTCATTCAATTCTTAGCTTTTGCCAATTTGGTTTAAAAGCAATACTCTTTTTTGGACACACGGTCTCGCTATGTAGTTCAGGCTGGCCTTGAACTTACTATGTAGCCCAGGCTCAAACTCATAGCAATCCTCCTGCCTCAGCCTCCCAACTGCAGGGGTTACAGGCATGCACCACCACACCCGTCTTAAAGCAATATTCTGGTTCCTTCTAAATATGGCAGTGCAACAATCTCAATGATGCTACTTGTTTCTTTCAAATACTGGCCATTCAAAAAAGAGAAAGAGTTATGGACACACAAAGCTTTCACCACCTACTTACTTAAATCTTCATCTTCTTGCTGAGAGTCATTGACAGTCATATAAACCATCTTTTCCCTGGGAACACGAATACTGTTGTTCTGGTCAAGTAGCTCAACTCCATGGTCATTCTCCGGTTCACTCTCCACAATGTCTACAGTTCCACCTATCAGGGAAAAAGGCAGGTCCACGGGTTTATTTGAAAACTTCATTGTACTGTATATATTTTTTTGTTTGGTTTTTTTCCGGTACCGGGAATCGAACTCACGACCTTGCGCTTGCCAGGCAGGCGCTGTGCCGCTGAGTTAAATCCCCAGCCCCTGTATATTTTTTTAAAAATTACTTTTTTTTTGTAGTTTTCAGTTACTTTAGAATTCTTGTTTAAAAGTTATCTTCAGAAAATATTTCAAATGCTATCGATCTAAACAACACAGAAGTAACCGGGTTGAACCATTTGATCAGGATATACACAGTGTACTAATTAAGGCTTTTTCTTACCTAAGTCATCCTCTCCCGGGTCAGCTTTAAAAATGTACACCTTGATGACTTCAGGACAGTTGCCATCCACTTTACAAGGATCAATTTCTGACTCTGCATCCATGGTCATTCCAGACGAACCATCATGTTCTATTTTGCCAGCATCATCCACTAAACAGGCAGGAAACAAACACGTCACAAATATTAACAGAAAATACTTACATAAAATGTTACTGTTTTCTGAAGTCTTTTTATAAAATAATCTCTAATTTGATTCACAAAAACTTGGGTGATTTTACCTAGATAAGTAGAAGGTTCAATAAAGACATTTCTAAAGACATCTCAAAATGGGATCAGGCACTAAAGTAAAAAGTACAGCACAAAGAGAAAACTCCTGGTAACCTACACAACTGTAAGTAACAAAGAATACATTTAGCCTTTGCTAAGCCATAGGTAAAAACATTCCTACACTAAAGATATGCTTTTAAAACAGCGGCAAGGCTGTGGGAAGAAAAGAACCTTTCTAAAATTGTTGGTGGGAATGTGAACTAGTACTACTACTATGGAAATCAGTATGAACGTTCCTCAAAAAAGAAAAAAAGTAGAAATTCTATTAAACCCAGCAACTCCACTTCTAGGTATCTTTCCAATCATCTGTTGGAAAATGGATATACCTTGACAAAATAACGTTAAGTGAAATAAATTCATGAGCTTAAATACTGCATTTTCTTATACAAAAACCCCAAAGCATATATAATTTAAGAAGCAAAATAAAAGAGAATAGTAAACAAGGGGATAGATCTTTTGCAAATGGGAAAGGGACCAAGGGGGGCTCGTTTAAAAAGAGTTAAAATGTGTTATGACTAGGCCTGGTGGTGCACGCCTATAATCTCAGCACTTGGGAGGCTGAGGCAGGAGGATCACTGCAGAGTTTGAGGTCAGCCTGGGCTACATAGTGAGTTCAAGACCAGCATGAACTACATAGTGAGACCCTGTCTTGAACCTTACCCTCCAAAAAAAGATGTGTTACATACAGGCACTAATTCTCCACAATGAATGTAATCATTATGTTTAGCTAACGTGCATTAATAAAAAATAAATCTGAAAAATATTTATATGTATTACTTCAGTTACTATTCTTTTTGTGTGTGTGTGTGTGTGTGGTTTTTTTCCGGTACCAGGAATCGAACTCACGACCTTGCGCTTGCCAGGCAGGCGCTGTGCCGCTGAGCTAAATCCCCAGGCTCCACAGTTACTACTCTTGAACAGCATCTAATCTAATCTATTATGAGCATCCCTAGCACAACAGAAAGTGTGGCAAAGATTAATGAAAATTTAGCACCCAGGACAATTTATCACAAAAGTTAGTTAGCCTCATGAACGCTGAGTCTATCAAAGAAACAGTTCTCTCCACTCTAGCCCTGCTGGCCTGCCTGGCACAGCTGAGACCAAGCAGAGAGGAAGAGGGCCAGGCCCAGGAAGGAAAGCTCCTTTAGCCTGTCTTCAGTACCTGCAACAAACCTTTGCAATTTCTCTTTTCCCTTTTAGTTCCCTTTCTAGTGTTCCTCTGCTGGATATATTTGTTTTCCTTTTGGCTGGATATTTATGTTTTATTTAATTCACAAACATTGAATCACAACTAGATTTTATGCTAGATATTGGAGATAAAAAATAAGAAAAATGTATTCCAGAAGCTTGCTATCTCATGGGAAAGCATGAGTAGACAGTTATTCTTAAATGTAGTAAGAATATAGCTACCATTTACTAAGTAACCAAAGTAATATTTAATACAAATCTATGAAGGAGGTGATACTGTGTTCTAGACATTTTACAACACAGCAAAGATTAGAGAGGCTGAGTAACTTATTTGGAGTCACAGAATTCAAATCTCAAACCACATTAATCCTAGTTTGTCAATTTCTGGAGTTTGGAAGATAAAAGAAATAAACTGGCAGAGGCAAAATGCAATTTTTTAAAAAATCAATAAATAGTTCAACTATCTAAAGATGCTTGCTTTTAGTGAAAATCAGATGAATGTGCTCATGACTCAGGCAAGCCGAGTCAGTGTTGCAATCAAGGACAGGGGGTGATGATTTTGACCACTGTAACATTTTAAATTCATTGTCATCTGTTGTGTGATTTATACTCATTAAGCCAAGACGGAACTGACATTTCAACATCTTTGAACTGATACTTCTGCAAAGTCCTATCATGCTCTCAATCAGATCCAAAAATTGTACTTATCTAATCAAAATTCTTACATAGAACATCAAGATGATGAATCCAGTATCTTAAAAGCCAACATTAAAAAGCAAAAATATAGTAATAATTTATCAACTTGGCTTCTGACTTACTGAGAATCAAGACCACCCGCATCACAAATAAATTACAAAGAATTGCTAGCAAACACCATCCCCAAACCTTTCTTATATGTCATTTACATAAAAATCATAAAATTTAATCAGCTGACTTCAGATACAAAGAGCCAAGAAAGTAGTAATGGGCCACTGAAAGTAGTAATTTTAGTCTATTTCTGACACCATAACATCATTAAATAGAAAGCTATATTTTATTTTTATTTTAAACAAAAGAAAAAATAAAAACAATGGTATAAAATTTCAAAACAAGATTGTAGGAGAGTAACAATACAGAAAGCTATATTTTAATACACATTTGGTTTCAAAACCAAACATGCCACTTACAAATGCCCTTATTGATAAATCCAACTTTTCCTTACATAATTTAAAGTTAAAATGAAGACCACTTATGAAGAAAAAGTAAAAGCTTGTTTACACACAAGATGATATTAAAATTGAACTCTCTAATGCAATCTTTAATAATAAATTGATATGGAACATAGAAAAGGATTAGAGCCAGAAATGATTGGTCAGTGCCATACTGTGCACTGACAGTTACCATGGAAACAAAGGAAGGACATGAAATTCAGGCTGAGAAAAAGTGCACTGATTTTAGGTATAGAATAAAGTAGGGACAAAAGTAGAGAGACAAGAAATAGTATGATGCTGCTGGGCGCGGTGGCAGACGCCTATAATTCCAGCTCATGACTGAAGCTGAAGCTGAAGCTGAAGCTGAGGCAGGAGGCTCACTGTAAGTTCAAGGCTAACCTGGCATACATAGCAAGACTGTCAAAAAAAAAAAAAAAAGAGAGAGACACAAGAAAAATAAATTTAAAAAGAATGGCATTATGCTATGGGAACACATCCTCTGATATTGTTGGGGCTGAAGGTAAAACATGCCACAGGGCCTGGTGAGAAACACAGCAAACTGCTAAGGCAAAGCCAGGTCACAGAGGGCCTGGTGCACCTGGCAGAGGAGCTTAGACTTAACCCTGGTAGGCTAGAAGTCTCTCATCCTAGTCCGGCATCCAAAAAAAAGGCAGCTTGGGGTACTTCTTTTAAAAAAGCAGTTTTACCAGGTCAGAATATGCAGGGATAAGCCTGATATATACAGGTGGTTTTAGAGGCACCCTGTCCCTAGGATTCTGATCATAGGTTAGAGAGTATCTGCTGCAGATGACAGAAGATTTTTAAGCAGCAGATGATGGCCAATGACAAGATCGATGCCCATTTTTGCTATACCATCCTGATGGCCTCGGAAAGACAGGGGTGCAAGGGATTAAAGACATGAAGCAGGGAGACCACTTGTGAGTCTGCTGCAATAACATAGGTGGTAGGTGCCACATGTCAAGACCTCGCATCAGGACAGAAATAGTATGAAGGGGCAAGAGGGTTGGTCTTGAGGCCTATCTTGGGACTAAAATGAACAGGACCTGGTTGGGAGTTTCTGATTTAGGAGGCTGAGTGATGGAGATAAGAAATGTAAGAGACACGAGGAAAAGGACTTTTCTTCCTGAATGTTTAATTACTTTAACATCCCAAGGATAACCACCGCAAAAGCTCTCACATCCAGTGCACTCCTCACCCACGCTGTGCCCTCAGTACTCCTTGCTTGCTTCTCTCAGAGTAAGTGACTCATCATGCTATTATCTGCTTTTCCCTCTTTCTTTACCAACTGATACAACAGAACCTGTATTTTCATTACCCGGTCTATAAAAGCATGGCAGAGCACGGCAATAGCACATGCTCAGAATGGTTCCAAAAATGACTGAGATGTGAAATCAACTGCTGAGTATCTGGGTCTGAAACCTGCAAGGTGATACACAGATTTGGGAGCCATCAGCTCTGTATTAACTAAGGCTGTGATCACTTACGAACAATTGGCAGTATGAAGTAAGACAGGGTTGAGGACAGAGTCCTGGGGAAGGCTATAGTTTAGGGAGGGACTTTCTTTCACAAAGGAAGTTGAGAAGGAAAAGCTGGAGAAGTTGGGGGAAGGGCATGAAGGAAGGCAGAGAGTTAAAAGTTGTAGAAATCCTAGTGAAACCCATAGTGGTAAATGCAACAGGCATACAAGTCAAGGAATGTTCGCAATGACTGTGGCAACCCGAGGTTACCAACATTCCCGGTGAAAAGCAGTGTAGGTACGGCTGCATGGTGTCAGACTGGAGTTGAGGAGTCAACAAAAGATGTGAATTTCAAGTCTAGTTTTAAAAAGGAGAGCAAGTGGGCAACAGTAAGAATAGGCTGCAGGGTCAAGGACTTTCCTGCTCAACTGATAAAAATGCTCAGGCATATTCAGTCTGGGAGAGCGACTAGAAAGCCAGAGGCTAAAGTCAGAGGACATGGTACAATCTCTGGATCTAGATCTCAGAGGGAAAGGGAAACTGTATATGAAACGAGGAGGAAAGAAGAAGGAATTTTCCTCAAATAAAAGGAGAAACATTCTATCCTTCCAAAACTTGAGGAGGTAAATGGGAATAAGAATACAGCTCTGTTGTATTCAAGAAAGGGGAGAAAGACTACAATAAAATGCACAAAGTTGGAGGAGACCATGGCTAGTGGCTTCAATTGCAGACATGAAATAGGAAGTAAAGACTTAAGTACAGTGAGAGAAGAGCAGGCTGGGTTAAAAGCCCAAGAAGCTACAGAAAATGAGCTGATCCAGGACAAACAGAATGACATGAAGGTACAAAAAGACTAGCTGGTTAAACTCCGCCATTTAAAAAAAAAAAAAAAAAAGATTCTTTGAAATCTAAACACAACTAAAGTATCTAGGTTATGCTTTATAAAAAATGTTTTGTAGGGGGAAAG